TCAGATTTGTTTACCAGTCTTCTTGTAAATTATCTCCCTTCCCTTTGAAGCCCCAGACCCCTGCCTGCTTCTCCTTAGCTCAAGTTGGCACGTAAGCTTCAGTGTCAATGTGAAGCTCTTGTATGTAGGAAATTCAATTTGTTTTTCCTCCTGCTAATCTCTCTTAGGTCAATTTAATTAATAGACCAGCCAAAGAACCTAGAAGGTTAGAGGAAAATCTCTTCCTCCCCTATGGTGCCAAGAACTGCAGACAAGAAGACAGGGCCAGGAGCAGGAACTAGAAGCTTCTCCCCTTCTGTGAGCCCAGTTCTGTCACCTCCAGTCTCTGTGATCCCAGCTGAGATGCTGGCCCTACGTACCCTTCTGTTTCCCCCTCTCAGAACCCAAAACTCTCCCAGTTTGTGATTCTGTGAACTCTTTAGGGAGACGCCTACATACCAAAAAAGAAGACAGGTAATTCCGCTGTATTTCATGTAAAATCCAAGTAGCAAGCTTGTTAGGAGGAGGGCAGAAGAAATCAGTGGAGGCTGCAGTGTTTGTAACTTGAGGGAAAGGCTGTAAGAACCAGGAGGGGTTGTCGTCAATGGTACAGAATCTGCAGACAGTCCTGGGTTGAATCCCTACTCTGCCTCAGTGTTCGTATCTGTAACATGGGGCTGCAGGGTGGCTAGTAGAGGTGATTGACATCATGTGTGGGTACAAAAGTTAGGACAGTGACTTAGCAGTGTTCCTACAGATCTGCTCTGCCTTTTGAGCTGTTGAACATAGTCACACAGTCTCCGCTACTCTTTCCATTGAGAGGTAGAGACAGAGCCCCCTTTCCTTCAGTCTGGGCTGGCCTGAGCACCTTCATGACTGACAGAATCATGTTCTGGGGCTCATGAGGCCAGGTCCTAAGGAGCCTTGCAGTTTCTGCCCTGGCTTTTGGAAAACTGGAACTTGAGCCATGAGCCATCATGCCAGTCTGACTGTTCTGAATTTCTCATGCTAAGGCGACCCTAGGTGGAGACGCCGGAGAGATCCTGAGTTTGCATACAGAAGGATGCTAGGCAGTCCCAGTGGTCCAGTCTCTAACCATGGGGTCAAACCAAGGGAAGCCCCGGACATTGTGCAGAAGAGACAAGCTGTCCCCTCTGTTCCACCACCCCCCAGAGCCCTGAGAGATCATAAAAGACAGCTGTGGCTTTCAGGGGGTGTTACACATGCCGAGTGGCTGCACAAATACTCACATTTATGTTGTTGACATTTAGTGAAGGTGAAGTGTGAGTCCTTTCTTTCTGGCTGTTCCCAGCTTGTCTCTTTCATTCCCAAACTTGTATCAGCAGTTCTGTCTGAATTATGCTTGGCTCTGAACCCTTGTCTCCCTTTTCTAGTTTCAGTGCAAATAGCTACACTGAAATCACAAGGAGGACATAAAATAGAGTGTGGATATATATATATGTGTGTGTGTATATATATATGTACATATATATATATATATATATATATATATCAGTAGCAGTGTGTGAAGGAAGAGCCTGACCTAAACGAATTGAATAGAAATTTGATTCCTGTGAGAATCAGTCAAATATCTCATCCATTGAATTAGATCATTTTCATAAAACTAAGGGGTCCACTGGGACACAGCTTTCGTTGTGATTCAGAATGCTGGGCATGGATCAGCTGACTTCTTTATTTGGAGCATCTAACCCAGTACTGCATTTGTTCCTTCAAATGAGAGAGAATCCCAGGCATGTCTCTCTCAAAATCTTGAGTTGGATAAAGGACAGAATCGGGGTGGGATCCTTGCCATAGAAACGCTTCTTGCATTTTGGTAATTGCACATGGTGGGAAAGAGTAAACACACTTTCTCTGGAGGAGATGCAGTATTTTTCACTGGAATACAGTCGATCAGTCCTTTGTCTTGCATAGTCTGATGAGTTTCTGACTTTCTGATAAAATTTATAGGCTCTCTTTCAAGAGATGCACGTATACACACAGAAACAATATGCTGCTTATGCTTATGGAAAGAGGGGGAAATGTCCCAGTCCTAAGAAGTCTATTTTTATGTTGAGAATCCTTGATCTAAAGAAGGATCTTGTATTTTGATAATACCTCTTCCTAGATAGAATAGCCTTCCAGTATATAGTTATACTTGTTGTTGTTTGTTTGTTTGATTTGTCTGCTTAGGTTATATGGTATAGAATAACTCATCCTCCCCAAACTCTCAGAGGTTTCAGTATGGAGTTGAAGTTGTTGCTGAGACTTTGATAAGCTTTTATACAGTTAGATGCATGTGTGCATGCTCAGTCATGTCCGACTCTTTGCGACCCCATGGGCTGTAGCCCTCTAGGCTTCTCTGTCCATGGGATTCTCCAGGTAAGAATACTGGAGTGGGTTGCCATGTCCTCCTCCAGGGGATCTTCCCGACCCAGGGATTGAACCTGCATCTCATGCATTGGCACTAGCACCACCTAGGAAGCCCATACACGTAGGTAATCAGAAGTAATTAGACTGAATCCTTGACTTCTTGTTGTCTTTCTCTTGGAGGCTTCTTGATTTTGCTCCATTTATTAGAACCACACTCAACACTTATGAAAGCATCTGCTTAGGAGCAGAACTCATCTTTATCCTGAGATCAGCTAAGCGAACTTCCCTCCAGCGACACTGATTGCAGAATGCAGCGCATAATTAAGTGTTTACCAAAAAAGCCGGCAAACAGGGCCAGTGGGAATATGTCAGAGCAGCTCCTGTCTCCATAGCAACACCCGATGAGCCTTGCAGAAAAATGAACGCATTCACAGGATCACTGATGCAAAATGATAAAGCCGCAACTAACAAGCACACAAAATCAACTCCATCGTTATGTTCGGGGCGTTAAATATTTAATACCTTAGCTTTCCACATCAGCATTCAATAATCCTAATTCATTTTTGGTTGTTTCTAAGTTGCTTAAGTGGAGAACAACTGACATCTGTTGATTACACACACTTCATGACTGCAAGTCTCGATGTTATTTGCACAGGATGGTAGAATACATTTTACAAGCAATTAGGAAAACGCAGTGTCATAAATTATACTAGCCTTGATGCCAGACAACATTCTCCCCTTGACAAACAAGTATTTATCCTCTGAAATGGAAGAACATTCCAAACCACTTGGGGCAACGATCTTTCCTCTTTTGACAAGTGTGTTCTGGGATTTCAGTGGCCTTGGGAGAAGGTGAGTGGGCTTTGAGGAGCTTCTGGTTGTCTGAGATGTATATTCATTGTGGGTTCTTCTCCCCAGTGTCTGGAGGGCCATGCCCTTATCTCAGATGCTTGAGTGTAGGTGAGGCCACTATCTGCTATCTTTCTCTCCATTGCTTGATCTCATGGGGTTAGCCAGGAAGCAGCAGGTCTGGGGTGGCCCCATCCTCCACAAGTTCATTTATTTTGCTGTCTCAGTGACACTGACATCCATCACACGTAATCAGAATCTACATGTAAAAAAATTAGCTTAGTGGCAATCGGTGAATGCAAACAGAGGACCAGTGTAAAAGAAACTCTGCAGACGAAATGGAGATGAGACCCGGGAAAGCACTTACCTTGATCTTCTCACCTCTATGTTTGGGAGCTTTATGTCACCAGTTATGTATTAATAGGGCTTTCCCAGTAGCTCAGATGGTAAAGAATCCACCTGCAATGCAGGAGACCTGGGTTTGATCCCTGGATCAGGAAGATCCCCTGGAGGAGGGCATGGCAGACCATTCCAGTATTCTTACCTGGAAAATCCCATGTGCAGAGGAGCCTGGGGGGGTACAGTCCATGGGGTCGCAAAGACTCAGACATGAATGAGCAACTAAACACAGCTCAGCATAGCATGTTCGTATAGACATTGTAGAATAGTAACACCTATTACCTTTAGTGACTGTGATTTGCCATACACTTTACTGGGAAGTTTTACATTTATTATATGCAGTTATCACAATGACTCAGCCAAGTAGTTAAAACAATTTTTTTAATTGAGGAGTAGTTGATTTACAATGTTGTGTTAATTTCTGGTATATAGCAAAGTGATTCAGCCACACATATAAATGTACATATATATTCTTTTTCATATTCTTCTCCATTACAGTTTATTACAATATATTGAATACAGTGCCCTGTGCTCTACAGTAGGAGCTTGTTGTTGATCGATTTTATACGTAGTAATTTGTATCTGCCAATCCCAAACTGCTAATCTATCCCTCCCCTGTCCCCTCCTTTCCCCTTCGGTGACCATAAGTTTGTTTTCTATGTCTGTGAGCCTGTTTCTCTTTTGTAAATTCCAGGTATGAGTGACATCATGTGATATTTCTCTTTCTCTGTCTGACTTCCTTCACTTAGTATGATAATCTCTAGGTCCATCCATGATGTTGCAAATGGCATTATTTCATTCATTCTTAGGTCAGCCAAGTATTTGATCTTCATTTCCATACAAGGAAAACTGGGGTTCAGAAAAGCAAAAAGATTTGTCCAAGACTAACAAGTAATGGGGCTTCCCTGATGGTTCAGTGGATAAAGAATCTGCCTTCACTGCAGGAGACACAGGTTTGATCCCTGGGTTGGGAAGATCCCCTGAAGGAGGAAATGGTAATCCACTCCAGTATTTTTGCCTGGAAAATCCCATGGACAGGTTCGCAAGGAGTTGGACACGACTAAGCAGCTACACAGAGACAGCAAGTGATAGTTGAGGACTCCAATCAGATTTTGCCTCCAAAGATGGCATTTCCCTGTAAATGTGCATGCATTCGTATAGGGTTCTGTAGCCTCACAGGCTGCTTGATGCCTGTTTCTGGGCCAGCAGCCCCAAGCAGCCTAGCAACCCCGATGTTTTCAAACTGGGTGGTGAGTGGTGAAAGCGTTGCCACAGCGATGGTTTGCTCTCTCTGTCTAAGGATTCCAAAGAGCTTGCTGGTGGTGTTTGTTCTTTCCTCTGAGAGATTGAAGAGGTGGGTGGTGTTGGGTGAAACCGCTGGAGCCCAGCCGAAGCTCTTGATGATGGCTGTTGTGCTGAAACCAGCTTCCCTTCAAGAAGAACCTCCACATGTTACCCAACACAAGTTCGTGTGCCTCATGCACAGTAAGGCCCAAACAAGCTGACTCTGGAGCAGAGAGAGGCTTACTGCAGAGCTGAGCAAGGAAAAAGGGTGTCTTGTGTTCAAAACACCCTGAACTCCCCGAAGGTTTCAGCAGAGCATTTTTAAAGGCCAGCAGAGGGAGGGGCGTCTCAGGTCACATTATCAGCTCATACACAGTTTTCTGATTGGTTGATGTGATCCATCCTTAGGTATCAGAAGGTCTGATCATTAAGTAGTTAATTTCCTCCATTTGTTGGTGGTGGTTTTTAGTATCTGAAAACCTCAGGAAATATGCATCAGATCTTATTATCAGGGGACATCAAAGAGGAGCTGCAGCAGAGGATATGGGGGCGGGGGCAGTCCAGGGACCTGCTCAGTTACACTTGGAAGTGAGTCCTGAAATCAAGGGGATCCACTGAAATATGAATAAAGCGGAGATGTGTGTATAGGTGTGTGTGTGTGCCCGTGCACACACAGTATAAATATTCATTGTCGTTCATTATCTTTGCCTTTAGGATCTTGTATTTCAGTCTCTCAACTGATGACTATAACTGGAGATTGGTTGATGAGATTGTTATATGATGTAAAACAACCTCTCTGGGGGTGTGACCTGGCACCCTCACTTTCTAGGATGGCCTATAACAAGGAAGCACCCTGTTTACTCATATTCATAACAATTTTAATACATATTCAATAAATGTTAAAATGATGACATCACAAAGTAATAACTGAGGGATTGATATGGATTATTTCCTTTAATCCTCACAGCAGTGCTTTTAGATAAAGAAACTGAGGCTTAGTGGAACCAAGTAACTTGACTGAGGCCACAAAGCTGATGAGAGAGGGAACAGACCGGCTTTCTCTAGAGCTCACAGTTTTTCTTAGACCCTGGGGCTAAGTCGATGCTAGGTTTAGTTCCTATTTCTTTTGGAAGAAAATCAGAAATTACCTAGACAGAGATTCAAGTCTTTCCTTACCTGCATTTGTAACATATTTCCGTTAAATGAGATTAAGACTGTGGTGATATACTTAACAAGTAGTTTTGTTCTGTGTTCATTGATTCATGCACCGATCCATAGATATTGTTGAGTACGCAGAATGAGACAATGTCTGTGCTGAGTACGGAGCAGACAAAGATGAGCAAAATATAGTTCCTTGAGAGAGGCTGAAAAATTATACAGGAACAACAGGCATGCATGGGGTATTATAAGAACCATGAGAAAAAGCACTTCTCCTAAATTTGGGGGTCCGAGTGGAGTTCACCACTGTAGCCTGCAGCCAAGAAGAGGTGCCAGAAAGCCGTCGCAAATAATCAGGAAGTGTGCAAGGGTGAGGGTGATCATTTAAATATATAATTTCTGGATTCTTTACTAAGAGGCCTAATATTCTTTCAACTCCTCTCTACCCATGGAGCAATAACAAAGTCTGAAGTATCTTAGAGCCAGAAAGCCTTCAATGGATAACAGAGAATTGAAATTCTTGACATTGTGGAGTTAATTCCACTGCTCAGAAAACTCACGCTCCCATTAATGTGTTGATTTAAAAATGAACAAGGTGGGAATGGAAAATGGTACTGCTATTTTTTTTAAGATTGTTTTCATGTGGGCCATTTTTAAAGTCTTTATTGAATTTGTTACAATATTGCTTCTCCTTTATGTTTTGACCTTTTGGCTGCAAGGCATATGGAATCTTAGCTTGCCCACTGGGGATTGAAACTGCACCCCCTGCATTGGAAGGTGATGTCTTAAACACTGAATTGCCAGGGAAATCCAAGTACAGCTATTTTGGAAAACAGTTTGGCACATATACTTTCAAAAGTTACGTATAAGAGGAAAGTGAAACAAATAAGGCGAAAGAAAGAAGTTAAATACACATTTGCTATATAACCCAGCCATTCCACTCCTAGGTTTCTTCCGAAAAAAATGAAAATGTATGTTGCCACAAAGACTTGTGCATGAATGTTGATAGTAGCCTTATTCATGCATAACGTCAGAAAGTGAAACAACCTAAATGTCCATCAAATGGGAAATTAATAAACAACACATTATATATACAATGGGACAAGATTCGACAAGAAAAAGGAACAAAATTCTGTTACACGCTACAGCATGGATGAACCGCAGACGCAGGCTCAGTGAAAGAAGCCAGATGCAAGCATGTTTGTCTGGTTCCATGTGAATGAAATGTCTGGAAAGGCAGACCTTTGGAGACAAAAAGGAGAGTAAGGTTTTCCTAGGCCTGGAAGTGAAAATGAGGAATAACTGCTAACTGGGGTAAGGGGGTCTCTTTGGGGTAATGGGAATGTTCTAAAAACCAAACTGTGGTGATAGTTGCAAAATTTTGAAAATTTATTAAAATTCATTGAATTGTCTGCTCAAAAATGTATTTTATGGTGCATAATTATACTTTTAGAAAACTTTGAAAAAATGACCAAATGTCCTACTAAAATTTGTTTGAGTTAGCTGGAGTGTCTGAAATGTCGTAAACATTAACAACTGTAGCAGCCATCCTGGCTATTTACTCTTTTAAACATAGCCTTCAAATATGTTTTATTCTTTGTCCTTAGAAAAGAGCATAAGACTTTAAAGATGGCTTAGGGAATTAGTAAATCTTAGAAGCTAAACCTTTTCACCATGTTAGTAAAAATGACAAGATTTATGATTTACAGATGTTTTCCAGTAGATCTGAACTTCTTGCCAGCATTTCAGATTCTGTAGGACTTTTTGGGTTTGTGATGGAGTGATTAGTGCTGGCAGTCTTTTTCCGTAATTGTGTAGTATCTAAGGGAGGCCCTGGAAGTAAATGCAATTCCTCAACCAAGAGCCATGAATTAGCCAACATAAGACTGTGTTCCTTTGGGCAGAATCCTTGGGCTGCAAGGAGGTCCAACCAGTCAATCCTAATGGAAATCAACCCTGAATATTCATTGGAAGGACTCATGCTGAAGCTGAAGCTCCAATACTTTGACCACCCATTGCAAAGAGCTGACTCATTGGAAAAGACCCTGATGCTGGGAAAGATTAAGGGAAGGAGGAGAAGGGAGTGCAGAGAATGAGACAGTTAGATAGCATCACTGACTCACTGGACATTTGAGCAAATTCTGGGAGTTGGTGAAGGACAGTGATGCGTTGCATGCTGCAGTTCATGGGGTCACAATGAGTCACATGACTTAGCAATTGAACAACAACCACAACAAAATGTATAAAATTAACATTTCCCATTTTTTTTTTTCATATCTCTTTTGAAAAGCCCCGGAACCAAAGTCATGGGAAACATTTAAAGAAATCTAGTTTTCTTGAATTCCAGTTCTTCTTATTAAGTCAACTTTTCTTGCATAAGGACTGAAAAGTCAGTAGAGCAATTTAACTCTAGGAGGGGAATTGATAGGATTAGCACAACTCATTCTCAAGAATCAGGTGGTTGTCACCTGAAATTGACTTGAAACTTCACCTCCTGGGTCCCCTGTTCTGTGCTTCCCTAGGGCAAGGAGATCCAACCAGTCCATCCTAAAGAAAATCAACCCTGAATATTCATTGGAAGGACTGATGTTGAAGCTGAAGCTCCAATACTTTAGCCACCTGATGCAAAGAACTGACTCCTTAGAAAAGACCCTGATGCTGGGAAAGACTGAAGGTGGGAGGAGAAGGGGACGACAGAGGATGAGATGGTTGGATAGCATCACTGACCCGATGGACATGAGTGTGAGTAAACTCCGGGAGTTGGTGATGAACAGGGAAGCCTGACGTGCTGCGGTCCATGGGTCGCAAAGAGTCAGACACGACTGAACTGAACTGAGGGCTTAGGAACAAATAGGCACTGGTCTCCAGCAGGCTTGGCTTTAGTTCTGGTTCTATTACTTCTTACTTTTGTTGACCAAAGGAAAATGCACAACCTAAAAGTTGAGAATTGTGTTTTATTTGGAGGACTTTCTGAGGACCCTGGCCTGGAAGACAGCCTCCGAGATGGCTCTGAGAGGCTGCTCTGAAGATACAAGGGAGGAGCCAGGATATATGAGTTTTTGCAACAAAGACCAGGTAGTCAGATCATCAAAGGATCACTGTTAATTAAAGAAAATAAGACATCTCAAGATTATGAATTTAGTGCTTTTCTAGGTATGAGGTGGGGCAAGAGTCTGGACTCACTGACATAATTCCGTGGACATACACCTCAGCTATCCGAGACCAGTCTCCTGGTTTTGCTGTCCTGAATCCCCACAGGTGCACAGTCCTGGGGTAGCTGCATTGGCCGATGGCCTGATTGCCACAGCATCCTTTGTTCACTGATGCGATGACAGATAATGTTACCAATGTGACTTTAGATAAGTAACCGAATCTTCTTAATCCTCAGTTTTTAGAAAATCAGTAAAATGGAAATAACTGTATCTGTTACAGAGGGTTGGGGCAAAGGCTTACAGAAATAATTTACATATAGTGATAAGTAAAAGTCGCTCAGTCGTGTCCGACTCTTTGTGACCCCATGGACTATACAGTCCAAGGAATTCTCCAGGTCAGAATCCTGGAGTGGGTAGCCTTTCCCTTCTCCAGGGGATCTTCCCAACCCAGGGATTGAACCCAGGTCTCCTGTGTTGCAGGCAGATTCTTTACCAGCTGAGCCACAAGGGAAACCCCTGACCCAAATTAGATGCCTCAAAACATGGTTTATTTGTAATAGTAGTTGCTGTATCCTATAGACCCTTACATCAGAAGTAGGACCACTGTTCTATTATTACCAATTGAAAATATCGAGAAGGTGTTTGAATGTGAGCATTTTTTTTCCATTTATTTTTATTAGTTGGAGGCTAATTACTTTACATCATTGCAGTGGTTTTTGTCATACATTGAAATGAATTAGCCATGGATTTACATGTATTCCCCATCCCGGTCCCCCCTCCCACCTCCCTCTCCACCCGATCCCTCTGGGTCTTCCCAGTGCACCAGGCCCGAGCACTTGTCTCATGCACCCAACCTGGGCTGGTGATCTGTTTCACCCTAGATAATATACA